TTCTGATTAGGTCTGGGGTGGGGCTCAAGAATTTGCATTTCCAACAAGTTCCCAAGTGATGCTGATGCTGGTAGTTCAGGGATCACACTTAGAGAACCGTGGCTTTAAATCAGCTTTTCTTACCTAATCATCTGCCTATTGTGACCTTTTGGTGGCTTCTGTCCTGAACACTGTTGGCAAATGTACAGAATGGTCTCAGGAGTGTGAGGCTGACTAATCTGGTGACTGTGACCTGCATTATCTGCAGCTGGTGGCTGATTGCAAAATGGAACAATTAAGGATTAAGACATAAATCACAGGAAATTAATATGAAGCACCACTGAGTATAAAACCCATAACATCGCTGGTATTCCTCTGTTTTGCTTATACACGTGCATCCTGCTTTGCTCTGCTGTGCTCCCCAGCATGGATGTGACCACACCCAGAACAAATAAAAGACTGTCTGTCTCTGCTATCACAGAATGATAAGGTCATGGGCAGGCAAGAGAATGGAAGTAAATTCAATGAAATAAGATTCTGGGGCTGATGATAAAGAAAAATGCCATTATATTCATTTAATTTTATAAATATCTGTACTTCATCTGTAACTGTGGCAGAGTGGAAGTCAGAAAATTTTTTGCCTTTAAAAAGTGGCTTCTCGGGGCGCCTGGGTGGCGCAGTCGGTTAAGCGTCCGACTTCAGCCAGGTCACGATCTCGCGGTCCGTGAGTTCGAGCCCCGCGTCGGGCTCTGGGCTGATGGCTCGGAGCCTGGAGCCTGTTTCCGATTCTGTGTCTCCCTCTCTCTCTGCCCCTCCCCCGTTCATGCTCTGTCTCTCTCTGTCCCAAAAATAAATAAACGTTGAAAAAAAAAATTTATATAAAAAAAAAGTGGCTTCTTTATGTCCAAATGATTTCTCTCTGAGTCAGACCTTCATATAACTATTTCATATTGATGAAGTTTTGGGGTAATGGGCGGGGTTCGTGGGGTCCGGAGCCAAGGGCCAAGAAAGAATTCTTGAAGACATCTTTGGTGCAAAAAGGTGATTTTATTAAAGCATGGGGACAGGTCCTATGTGTGGGAAGAGCTGTACTGGGATCTTGATGGGTAACTCATTATATATCCTCAGGTTGGGAGGGGGTCAAGAATAGAGTAAGTCTCTAAGGAATTTTGGAAGCAAGGTTTCCAGGACCTTGAGGGGCTAGCTGTTGCTAGGGAAACTCTATTTATTACCACTTAATAAATCGCAATCATGAGACCCTTCAGATGTATATCGGGGAGCCATAGGCTTGGAGTGCGCCCCAGCATATACCTTGGGGCAGTTGAGCTAGGAGAAGTAAACTTACAGGATCCTGGAGGTTGGGATAATGTTAAGCTAAGGTTCTCTTTTGCCCCTAGCAAAGTGTCATCATCAAGGTAGCTGAGGTCCTAGAGGGAGGTCACTCTGCGGGTTTCAAGGACTCCTCAGTGGACTGTAGGCAGCAAGGGACTTTAATTTTTCATTTGCCCTAGTTTCCCACATCACCATGGCAAGCACTTAAACCACTTTCCTTTGTTATTTCATAGCCAGGAGTGTCTGAGGTACATCACACATATTCTACCGGGGTGTGTGTGTGTGTGTGTGTGTGTGTGTGTGTGTGTGTGTGTGTGTGTGTGTGTGTGTGTGTGTGTGTGTGTGTGTGTGTCTGTGTGTGCGCGCACGCGCATGTGTGTGTCCCAGCCTGTATTTTGCCCTCAGCTTGCCCCACACTCCCTCATCAATATGGATTACTTATTGATTTTGATGATATGGCTTCTTAGAATAAAAACCTGAAGCATACTATAAAATAAGTATAAATTTGAAATGTAGGCTTATGAGATGGAAACAAGCTGAAATTTCATAATGCTGATTAACTATTCATTTAACTTCTTGGGAATTTATATTTGTATTTCTTCTTATACACCCTTAATATCAGTTGATTAGCACCAAGAAAAATGAATTGATATAATGTCTAGAAAATCTGGTAGGATTGATTTAAAAAATTAGTTTGAAAACTTTCTTCCTGTTCTATCCCTTCTGAGGTCACAAAGTCACTTTTCACATTATAGACATCTCCAAATGGTTGCTTATTCTCTGATGTTTTCTTTGACTAATCAGAACAAGATGACAGGTTTTTTTTTTTTTATTCATCCTACTAATCTCTGAGTGCTATTTACCTAAATCTGCTCCATCTACAATTCATAATGATTGCATTGATGCACATACTTTAGGATGGAATTGATTTAAATAAAATTTATTTAAATTTAAATTACTACCCAGGAAGATGGAATGTAATAAGTTTGACTGCAGCTTCCTATCTCTTATTTGATTTAACTATAATACGGTTCTCAACTCATAAATAGGTATAGTTTCATTTTTAGAAGCCTACACCATACATTCCAAGTGGTGATTGATTCTGATAATTTCTCAAACTGTTGTTACTGTCTAATCAGGAAAATGAAGCATTTGAAACAAATAGATGTAAATTAATTGAGAGGGTTAAACACCTCTAAGTTAAGACGTTTGTCATGATTTTGTTTGGCATATTTTAAAATATGTTAGCATTATCAACCAAAACAAAAAACAATGTATACTTATATAAATGTTTTATTTGATTAAAAGAGGGCATGCTGACAGTTTTTGAAAGACACACAAAAATGTTGAAATTGATATGACTTGGAGAACAAATCTTTCACCCTCACCCCCTGACTTTGTGGGCACTGGGTACAGTACAGGGAGTTATGCAAACCCATATTTGCAATCACTACTTTACAGATATTAACATAGGGGATGAGGGATATTTTGTGGCAGAATCTAATCTTGCTTAAGGAAAAAGAAGAAGAAAAGGCTGCAATTTCAGAGTTTGGGCTTGTTATGCATACAGGATAATGAGCTTGGTAAGTTTAGAAGCTTGGGTCTAGCTCAACAAACAGATGCCAATGTGGCCAAACAGTAATGTTCCATGCTATCTCCACCGTGCGTCTGGGTCTCTGTACTCATCATCTCATATATATATAGGGCTGTTTTGTTCTCTTAATATACTTCACTCTAAGTATACTACCTTTGAACATTATTGTTTTTCCTTAGAAGGTAGTATGTGTTTTATTTTATTTTATTTTATTTTATTTTATTTTATTTTATTTTATTTTATTGTGTGTTTCATTTTAATACTTACCCTCAGGATGCTCAAGAAGAAGGAGGGATATATCTTCAGTTTATACTGAGAGAAAGACTGAAAAGGGCAGACCTTTGGAATACTGAAGCATGCTGGGCCTTAGACTATTTCAGAATAATTCCCCTGCATTCATTGGACTTGAGAGATTTTTTAAGTTTTCTTAACAAGACATTTTTAAGTCATCTCTCAGTGTGGGTTAATTTTATAGATCCAATGTTGTCTATAATGACAGCTTACATTAAATGCTTGGTAAGTATTAATTCACAATAGGTCCCAAACTGTCCTCGAGGCTGATTTTCATTTTTTAGAGGAAGAAACAGGTGTGGTCAGAACTAGTAAGTTCTTTCCTCTCCCCCCATACTAGTACCCTCACGTAGGTAGACCTCAGGGTTGCCCGTCAGTCTGGTTCAAGAGCCTGCACTCTGTGGTGTGTGTGTGTGTTGTGTGTGTGTGTGTGTGTGTGTGTGTGTGTGTGTTTGATAAAAGAAAAGTTCATCTCACAGTTGGGGCAGGTTCTGTTCTGGGGGGCAGATGACTTTATCCTTGAGGATGAATGGTTTTTTTGGTTCTTTTAAAGTAAAACAGCCTGGGTAGGCATGATAGGTTAAGCGTCCGACTTCAGCCGGGTGCGATCACCATGGGTCATTGAGTTGAGGCAGCGTCAGGCTCTGTGGGCTGATGGCTGGAGCCTGGAGCCCTGTTCGATTCTGTGTCTCCCTCTCTCTCTGCCCCTCCCCCGTTCAGGCTCTGTCTCTCTCTGTCCCCAAAAAAATAAACGTTGAAAAAAAAATAAAAAAAATAAAATAAAAAGTAGGTAAACTGTCTTAGGAAGGACAGTAGGTCTTTTCCTGGGCCCTGCTGAGGGAGATATTCAGGCAGATTATGATTTGGGTGCCACATCTTAGGAAGCCAGCACCTCCCAGAGCAGGGCAACAAAACCAGCAAGGACATGGAACACTTTCTATGTAAAGCAAGAATTGGAAACTAAAGACACTTCCACTTCACGTCCTCAACGCCCATACCTGTCAGAGTCAGGAAAAGATAGGAGAAGAATTACTGTTCTAGAAGTTGGGAGTTTTAGGGTTTTCCCAACAATTCCTTTAAAAGCTGTATGGATATAGACAGGCCTCTTAGCATTGCTGGGCTCAATTTCCTTATCTATAAGATGGATTCTGGGTTTCCAGGGAAGAGGTTCTGCACCAAGGCTGCACAGGGTAGCGGTTAGGAACCAGATGGACTCTGGAACCAGACCACCTGGCCTTATAACTATTTAACTTCTTCATGCCTAGATTCTTCACCTAAGAAAAAGGGATATTAGTTTCTATTTCACAGGGTTGATAGGGGTAGCAATGGGTTAGTACATATAAGTACAGTGCTTGACCCTTAGTAAGCTCCCAATAAATGTTAGCTATTAACACTATGAGTATCTAGTATAGTGTCAGGATCCAACTTCATACAATGGAGAATATTTAGAGATGTCATCATCTTGGATCCATTTTCTTGGTCTTTCCTAGCTTAAGAGGCTCAAAAAATCAGAATCCTTTTGGCGACCCCATTTTGTCCCCACTCCTGTCCAAGCAAGGATCCTCCCCCAATGCTAAGCTATTGTCTAGGCATCAGTTCAAGTGCAGGGAGGCAAGAATTGGAGCAAAAAAAGAAGGAAGAAGTGGCATTGAGGCCAGATGAAGGGTGTTCATACAAGTTGTATATAAGTTGGGAACCACTTGTATACTAATATGTGTGAAGCTTGATTCTCTCATGCAAATAATGTGCATGGGCAGCTGGAGGTGTCACTGTATCAGGTGGGTCCCACTCTCTCCTCTGTTACCAGCTGGGTCACTCCCACCTGCCTGCACGCTGCTATTCTCCATTTCCCATCCACACTGGCCATCACCACTACCTACATGTCATAATGGCAAGGGAGGTGAACACATGTCATGGCAGATAGTGCCTATCTCTGCTCAGCCTCAGGAGAGGAGCTTCATGAGTCCAAGCATTGCCAGAGCTGGACTCATCCTCTTGAAAAAGGGTGAATGAAATGAGATCATTTTAAAGTTGAGGCTTTATTTATTTATTTATTTATTTATTTAATGTTTATTTATTTTTGAGAGAGAGAGAGAGACAGAGTGGGAGCTTGGGAGGGGCAGAGAGAGAAGGAGACACAGAATCTGAAGCAGGCTCCAGGCTCTCAGCTGTCAGCACAGAGTCTGACGTGGGGCTCGAACCCACAAACCGTGAGATCATGACCTGAGCCGAAGTTGGACACTTAACTGACTGAGCCATCCAGGCACCCTAAAATTGAGGTTTTATAAAAATCCAATGTTTTAAGGCTCTCTATGAAAGACAAACACAAATCCTATGAGGTTTTCTTTAAGGTATAGTCAAGTTCAAACATGTCATTATAGACTAAGACTTATAATTTAAACTATGACATACTTCTTAATTTAAAATATGTACTTGGAATATATATTTTTTCATTCAAAAACTTTGAATTTTAGGAATAAAGGGGACAGCGGAGACCATTCATTTCCATGTCAGCATTTTTAGATGCAGGAACTGAGAGGTAATGAGGTGAAGACACGTGTCCTTGTTCACAGGGCTAATTAACAGAGCTGGGAAAAGAACAGAATACTCAGTCAAGAATTATTTTCCTTATGTCACAGAGGACTCCTCCTCCAAAGTAGTTGTTGTTCTTGCATTGCAAAGGGTTCTGGAAGGGGAGGACAAGTGAAACTAGGAGCACCAGCAGCTCGTGCAGAATGGTGGCAAAGACCACAGGACCTGGGGCCATACCTACATGGCTGGAATCCTGTCTTCTCAACTTCCCAGCGGTGTGATCCTTGGCAAGTTCTCTGTGAAATAGCAATTAGATATTGTGAAGTCACAGTTAACCTCTCTGCATAGTTACAATGAATCGATTGCAAATGTTTTGGTGTATTTGTCAAGTGTTTTGCTCTGTATTAGGAACAGAATTAATATTAGATGCATGTAAATCCGGAACCATGTCTGTGTTTAAGTGCTTAATTATTGTTTCTGAAAGGCCCACTGTGAGTATCTAGAACAGTTATAGTTAATAGCTTTGCTAAATTGAGAATGTTTAGGGATGTCTACATCCTGGATCCTGTTCTAGGTCTTTCTCAATTTTTTTAAGTTTGTTTGTTTATTTATTTAGAGAGAGTATGCACGTGCACGTATATGAGCAGGGGAGGGGCAGAGAGAGAGGGGAGAAGAGAGAATATCAGGCAGGCTCCCTGCTGTCAGTGTGGAACCCAGTGTGTGGCTTGATCTCATGAAGCGTGAGATTATGTAGGTCTTTCTCAATATAAGAATCTTAAGAAGTCAAAAAAAAAGAATCTTAAGAAATCAGAATTGTCTTCCTAACTTCATCCTGTGCCCACCTTACCCCAAGCAGACACTCTCTCTGACTCTATAATCCTGAGGACAGAGACCTGGGTAGAACTTGATCTAAGCCATATCCCAGTGTCCAGCCCAGGGCCTCAAAAAGAAATGTGTAGTAAAGATTAATGCAGTGGTATCTCTAGAATTTTGATATAAAAATGACTCAGAGGTGATCATCTGGTTGGGACTGAAGATGAGAGTTTGGATTGAAATTGCATTTGCTTAGGAAATAATGGTGATCAAAGAGATGTAGCTAATGTTCCCTCATGCCAGCCCTTGAAATTACCAATGAATGAATATGTGAATGAACGAATAATATATGAATACATGAGTGAATGAGGATAGCAGCACTACAGCTCTCTGTCTCAGTAGACACCACCACTGGGATAGAATCTCCAACCAATGGAGGAGGAATTTCAAAACGAGATCTGAGATGGACTAATCTGATGTAAACTGAGTATTAATATATCTTCTTTACCTGCTGACACCCCTCACGTGGAGAATTCTGCGTTATAATAATTATACAAGAGATGCATGCAATGCCCTTGTAGGAAGCCAAACAAATTGAATACAGCCTTTTCCTGTTAAAAACAAAATTCAACTATGTAAATTTGAAGATCTAATTGGCTTTATTAAAAGATTCATGAATTGGGGACATCCCAGCTAAGAAGTAGAGGGGAGCTCCAAGGAACTGTAGAAAGTGGAACGTTTGTGGGGCACCTGGGTGGCTAAGTCAGTTAAGGGTCTGACCTCTGATTTCAGTTCAGGTCATGATCTCATGGTTTGTGGGATCAATCCCCACATCAGGCTCTGTGCTACCAGAACCTGGGATTCTTTCTTTCCCTCTTTGTCTGCACCTTTCACGATAAATAAACATTAAAAAAAAGTTTCTTTAAAAAAAAAAATAGGAAGGTGGGGGGGGGGCAAGAAAGTTATTAGCACAAGAAAAAGATTGTTCCAGGCAAGGTCGATTTTCCTTTGTGGGAAAAGCAGCAGTCTTATCATACAGATTACTTCATCCACCCAACTTCACCTATCGTTGGGGGATGGAAAGGGCTCCTGTGGCCACCTCTTGTGTGATCAGTAAATTCCTGAGTGACTGATTAAGACTGTATTTCTGGAGGAGGTTGAAACTGCAATTAGATTGGGTATTAAGCCCTGGTTTGTGGAGTTGGCCTAAGTGACACCATTTTGGGCTGTGGTTTTCTTTTTAACACTCCTAAGACCTGTAGCCCGGTTTATTTTACTTTTATCTGATTTTATTTTATTGTTGAAGTCTAGTCGGCTCACAATGTTACATTAGTTTCAGGTGTACAATATAGTGATTCAACAAGTCTACATAAGCTGTGCCCTCCACAAGTGTAGCTACCAGCTGGTGGAATACCATTGGCTACATTCCCCATGCTGTACCTTTGATCACCACAACGTATTCATTCAATAACTAGAAGCCGGTATCTCCCACTCCCCTTCACCTACTTTGCCCATCCCCTCCCCTCCTTTGGTAACCATCAGTTTGTTCTCCGTATTTGCGCCTATGACCCAGTTTAGAGAACAATGTTCTAGATTATGTATACCTACTGATGAGACTCATCACTTTTTCAATTTTCCTCACAGAGGTATGAGATTAATGAGATAACCATTTTACGTCTTGTTGTGAAAGAAACTCCTATATAAAAGCTATTATTGTCATGTTTACAATCCAGAATGGTCCGATGAAGTAGTATATTTAGATATCTAAATGATAATGGAGAGTTTGTGTTAAGTTTTGAATGTATTTGATTGATTTGTTGAATTTTAAATTAATCTGAGTTTTTTAATTGGACTAATTTTTTAATTCACGTGGGACCAAGACTCATATGTCTTCTCTTTGTTGATAGGCTGTATCTTTTCCATGTAATCCTGGTCTCTACTTTTTATTTGCATTTATTTTTATTTCTATCTGGAAACTTGTCTGACTGGTCTTTGCTTCTGAAGACGTCAGGTTATGCAAAACTCTTGGCATTCTTTGCTTGATGACTGCACAAAGGATTAATTAAGTGTGAGGCAAATTCTTGTTAGATAACTCAGTCACATAATTCCAGAGAAATCTCTTGTACATATTACTCATTAAAGTGGTTTTTTTTTTTCATTTTAAAATGACCACAAAAATTACTGAAATAGCAAAAGCTTTGTCCTTTTTCCTTTCTAGAGCTCTTAGTTTTTCTGCTTTCGTCTTCATGGCTAGACTTCTAGAAACTTGAAAACAGTTTCTCTCCTTTCATTGGGGACTTTTTGGCAAACACTGAAACTGAAATATGGCTTGATATATTTTTGTTGTTTCTGAGTTTGTTTATCAACATGATTAATATTATCAAAACTGTCCTTGGGACATAACTTAATCCCTCAGCTTCTGTTCCTGAGGAGGATTCGCTTTGGAGAAATAAATTTTTATTTTTTTAAACATTTTTTTTTTATTTTTTTTTTCAACGTTTATTTATTTTTGGGACAGAGAGAGACAGAGCATGAACGGGGGAGGGGCAGAGAGAGAGGGAGACACAGAATCGGAAACAGGCTCCAGGCTCTGAGCCATCAGCCCAGAGCCTGACGCGGGGCTCGAACCCACGGACCGCGAGATCGTGACCTGGCTGAAGTCGGACGCTTAACCGACTGTGCCACCCAGGCGCTCCGAGAAATAAATTTTTAAAAGTTGCATGCCAGGCAGGATAGCAGCAGGAGCATCCCTTAACCTTCCTGCTTCTGCTCGCGTTTGTTTCCATGCACACCTGTCTGCAATGTCTCTGGATTCATCACGGTGCCTCCAGTCTAGAGAAAACTGTGAATACTCTTTTCTCAGCCTCTACAATGACTTCTTCCTGTGAAGAACCACAAGAACCACTCACTGACACAGAATCCCTTTTCTAAGAAAAGGAAGTCACTGTTTTTAACATGGCACTCCTTAGGAAATCTTAGCCAGGATATTTTATTGAAATACCGAATTTAAAAATTTGGGGTTCTTGGGGCACCTGGGTGGCTCAGTCAGTTGAATGTCCGACTTTGGATAAGGTCATGATCTCTTGGTTCCATGAGTTCGAGTCCTGCGTTGGGCTCTGTGCTGTCAGCATGGAGCTTGCTTGGGATCCTCTGACTCCCTCTCTCTGTCCTTCCCCTGTTCATGCATGTGTGCACATGGTCTTGCTCTCTCTCAAAAATAAATATTTAATAATTTAAAAAAAGATCTCAAGTTCTTTAATAGAAATGAATTTCAGCAATGCTGTTTTCATTCCATGTGCCTCTTCTCTCTTTTCCTTTTCTTTTTTTTCAAGTTCCTTCAGTAAGAATATTTGCACTCTCTGGTGTGCTGAGATCCTGGACCAACAGGATCTCAAGTGTCGAACGTCCTGTCAGAATTTAGGTTCCATTGACGACAGATTGATGACAGTCAATAGTGCAATAGTGAGTTGTTGTTGTTTTACCAAAAGAGGCCATTTCTTTTGTTTTTAAGAGCACCTAAGTTGCTAAGAGACCATAGTTCAGTTCATAATGTTTATTGTATTAATTTGGCTCTTTCCTTAATCCTCCTACATTTCATTTATTTCATTGTCTGCCCTGCTACAAAAAATACCGCTTTATCTCTGCCTAACACCCTCTCCTTCGCACTCCCTACTCTGGTTTCTAAAGAAAACCTGGAAGAATAAGGACAGAAGTCCATGCAAAGAGACTGCAGGCAAGGAAGAAAGAAAAGGAAGATTCTGAGGAGGGCGAACAGCTGGCGAGTGGGGTGGTTAGACTTGTCAGTGCTCCTGGGCTCCTTTTTCTTCAGCTAGCTAACCTGCGGCCAGGACTTGGCCACTGCAGCTTCCTTTGGCTTCCTTCCATTTCTGACTTCAAGACCATGCTCAGGGCAGACTGCCTTAGAAGGCAATTGGTTTCCTCCTGTTGGCCCACGGGGTGCTTCTGCCACTGTACCCGCTGGCCTGGCATCCTGGAAATCTGACAAGCCTGCCTTGCTGAGACAGAACAGATCGGCTTCTGTCCTTTTTTTCCTTTATTACAGTGGAGAGAGAGAGAGGCCCAGAGGAGGAGGAGGCTGCTGGTGCAGAAGTCGCTCTCTGGAAGGGAGCTCTTGTGAAATTCATTCTGCGGGGAAAACAATCGTGTGGGGGTGTCATTTTCAGTTGTGCTGTTGCTGGCAGGATGATTCAAACAGTACTGGTTCCCTGATCTGCTTGGGCTTGGTTTCCACTCCTGCATAATACACACGCGGGGTTCTCTGTACTGTGGGTAGCAGAGAGCCCACAGATACCTGTGGTTGGAAAGCTGCAGGGGTCTCTAATTTTAGGAGTCAAGCAAATCTAAGATACTTCAAAAATTTTTTCTAATTATTATTTATTTTTAATTTTTTAAACTGCTGATTAATTTTGAGGGAGAAAGAGAAAGAGAGAGGCAAAGAGAGGGAAAGAGACAGAATCCCAAGCAGGCTCCATGCTGTCAGCACAGAGCCTGATTTGGGGTTCAGTCTCACTGACTGTGAGATCATGACCTGAGCCAAAAACGAGAGTTGGATGCTTAAACGACCGAGCCACCCAGGTACCCCTAAGATACATATTTTATAAATCTTGTGTTTTTATTGCTAAGACAAGATGGCAATATTAAAGATCAGTTTTAATGATTATTCTATATTTTAGCTATACAAAAAAAAACACATCACTGCTCAACTCTCACTGAGTGGGTGAGAACTGGGTGCTCATTAGAATCATTTGGGAGTTTTTCAAATTACAGAGGCCCAGGCCTCACTTTAAACCAAGTGACTCTGAATCTATGATGGTGGGGCCCAAGCATCTGTATTTATTTTTAATAAATAAAAAAAATTAATATTTATTTATTTTGAGAGATAGAGACAGAGTGTGAGCAGGGGAGGGCAGAGGGAGAGAGACACACACAGAATCCAAAGCAGCCTCCAGGCTCTGAGCTGTCCTCACAGAGCCCAATGCAGGGCTTGAACCCACAAACCATGAGATCATGAACTGACCTGAGCTGAAGTTTGATGCTCAGCAGACTGAGCCACCCGGGTACCCCGAAGCATCTGTTTTTGTTTTTGTTTTTGTTTTTTCAGGCATCTGTATTTTTAATAAAGTTCTCAGAGGAGTTGAGAACCACTGGTAGAAGATAATATTGATGAATATCCTGTTTACTCTCTAATCAGATTAAGAAGTAATCTCTCCGTGGTCACATTTCCCTCCCTAATCAGAAGTAATCACTGGCCTAAATTTGGTGTTTATTGTCGTTATCCAAATATTTAAACTTTTACCACATGGGTATGTGTGTTTGCAACTCCAAATGGTACATAGTAGGGCATATACGTGTTTTAAAAACTTTGCAGACATGGAATTATGTCATATATCTTTCTGAAACTTTTTTTTGCTCAAGATGTATTCATATTGATACATGTAGTTTTAGTTCATTTTCGTTGCTATATAGTATTCTATTGTATAATTAAAAAAAATTTTTTTTGAAGTGAGCCAGTGAGTGTAGCATTTTAACAGAATTATTTCCATTTTGGGGGGTATTTTCTCTCAGTTTTGTCTTCAAGCACACTTTTTTTTTTTTTAAGATTTAGTGAAAGAGAGAGAGAGTGTGTGATTGGGAGAGAAGGGCAGAGGGAGAAAGAGAGAGAGAATCTCAAGCAGGCTCCACGCTCAGCATGGAGCTCAACTCGAGGCTCGATCCCATGACCCTGGGATCATGACCTGAGCCCAAATCAAGATTCAGAACCTCAATCAACTGAGCCACCCAGACACCCCAAACATATGTGGTTTTTTAAAATATTTACTTATTTTTGACAGAGAGAGATCATGTGCATGCGTACATGCATGAGCAGGTGAGGGGCAGAGAGAGAGGACACAGAGTATCTCAGCACTAACAGCACAGAGCTTGAACCCATGAACCGTAAGATCATGACCTGAGCCCAAGTTGGACACTTAACCAACTGAACCACCCAGGTGCCCCTAGCATACATGTTTTAATAGTGATAATTTCCATTATAACTCAATTTTGGGTTTTCTTTTTCCATTTAGTATCATATAATAAATTTCTTTCCATGTTTCCATAGGTCATGATTATTTAATTAACTACATAATTTTCCTTCATGTCTATTCATCATAATTAATCTAACTATATTTTACCCCTAATATATTTTTTTACCTATTTTTTACCCCTAATATATTCTTGTAGGATGGAGCTGGCAATATTACAAGAAAGATTTGCAGGTATGTGTGCAGCTTACTTGATTTGTTGAATTATTTCTCTAGAATGGTTTTCCAGGAGTCGGATTATTGAATCAAAGCCTTTGAAAAGGCTTGATACATTTTATAATACTGTTTTCTAAACACACTTGTATTTTTGTTATAACCCATCTCTGGGTTAATGCTGAATTATTTTGTTTCATGGGGGAATATAATATTAGGAGTTCTTCTTTTGGAGAAGCCGTACTCTTGGTTCTAAACTCTTAGGACAAATTGAACACTGAGAAGAGTACCCAGAATTGAATATATTTAAGTAGACTAATACACAAAGCTAAATGGAATAGCAAATACATAAGAATTTGCAAATTCACTGGATAAGAAATTAATTCTAGATGTGATTTACTAATAATTATTGAAAATCCCATGCTTATGTTGCCTAATCTCTTTACTAAACCTCAGTTTCCTCAGCTGTAAAATGAGGTTATGATAGAAATAATAATAATAGCCGTGAGTAGCACAACAACATTTTTGCAGTGTTCATCACATGCTAGGCATTGTTCTAAACACTTTACATATACTAGCATTTAATTGGCTTAACAACCCTATCATGTAGGCATAGTTATTATTATCCCTATTTCATATTTGAGGAACCAAGGCACAGAGAGGTTAAATGACTTTTCTAATGTCATACAGCTAGTACATGGCAGAGCCAGAATTCTAACTCAGAAAGTCTGGCTCCGGAGTTAATGCTTATAACCACTAAATAAATAAGATAGTTTATATAAAATACCTACTTGAGTGCTAGGTGTATAGTAAGTACTCAATAAATGCTTGATATTATTATAATTATAACGTGTTTTGAAAAATCATTCGAATGAGTACAAGTAGTGAGTGAACTGATTTAATAGCCCTAGAAAACAATCAATAAGTGGAAATTTCAGCAAGGCAAATTTTCACTCAACAGCAGTAGTACATTCTTAGACCCTGGACATGAACAAGGAGAGGCTGAATGTCCACTTGCCAAGAATGCTGTAGAAGAAATTTCTGTAGCAGGTAAGTGGCTGCCCTGGATGAGCTCTAAGGCAATTTCTAGCTACAGGATTCTATGATACTAGGCCAGAATCTTATGTTCTTTTCCCATATACTAAAGCTCACTTGTTTTCTTTAATATCAGTTTCAGTTTATGAACCTTATTGATGTTATTTTCATTGTAATTATCTGAATCATTCACCAACAAGAGCGTAGCTTTGTAGTTTGTGTAAGCCTTTGGCAGTCTCTTGTGTTGTAAGGTCTGATGTGTTACAATACCTGAACTCATAATGATGGGTGCTGGGGAAACCAACATGTAAACATGTCAGTTTCCTTGGTGGTCAGCCTTCCTAAGCAGGCATCTACAGAGCCACTGTCACTTGGCTAAATATCATTTGGAGTCTGTCATCTTTATCAAGAGAACAGACAGGCCCATGAAATGGCGCTTTAAATGTTTACATTGAAAAATTATGGGACTATGATTGTGGATGTGAGTTGATGTCGCATTTATAATAACACAGTTTGCAAGTGACTCAGGAGAGTGCCAATGATTTCCTGCTGGGCAGGGGGATTGCTCCCTTGATGGAAGTAATAATTTTGCTCAAGCCACAGGGAAGCCACATCTGACCTTAGGATTTGTTCTCCCTTTGGATTTCAGCCCATGCGATTATTTTGTCTATACCATTACATCTGAAGCAACCCTTCAGGGTAATGCACAATTTTATCAGATTCATGTCATTTCTCCAAAAAGAGTCATTTAAAGGGAACAGTTAATTCCATTACAAAGATGATGATGGAATCCATAGCAAATATACTGGATTGGCCCAGAGATCCAGGCTTTAGAAAACGATTTTTTATTGGCTATATATTATTGTCTTTTGTCTAATGTTTTAGATTGTGCTGAATGTGTAGTTACTATGGAGATAGATCAAAATAGGCATAGAGTTTTGAGTATCAAATTGTCAACAAATTTACCGTATAAAAATAAGATGTAGGGGCGCCTGGGTGGCGCAGTCGGTTAAGCGTCCGACTTCAGCCAGGTCACGATCTCGCGGTCCGGGAGTTCGAGCCCCGCGTCGGGCTCTGGGCTGATGGCTCGGAGCCTGGAGCCTGTTTCCGATTCTGTGTCTCCCTCTCTCTCTCTGCCCCTCCCCCGTTCATGCTCTGTCTCTCTCTGTCCCCAAAATAAATAATCGTTGAAAAAAAAAAATTTAAAAATAAGATGTAGAGTGAGAAGGAAGGCAGACAAAGACTTTCAAAAACAGTTATGAGATTTAATCTGTGATATAGGAAGGAACGAGAAAGCAGAGAGCAGACAGGACTTTAGACAATAGATTCTTCAAAATCTTAAGGTAAACCATTTGAAATGATCATTTTTGAATCATCGTCATTGAAACACACAATTTGCCTTATAAAGAAAACAATCTCTTTATTTAGTGGGATTTGACTATGTTCAACATTTGTAATAATTCTAAAATAAAAAGTTACAGGTTAACTTCATAAAAACAACTCATGTATTTATACATGAGTACCGTTGACCTTAGAACAATGCAAGGATTGGGGCGCCTGGGTGGCGCAGTCGGTTAAGCGTCCGGGTAGCTAAGTCAGTTAAGGGTCTGACCTCGATTTCAGTTCAGGTCATGATCTCATGGTTTGTGGGAGTCAATCCCCACATCGAGCTCTGTGCTACCAGGAAGGATTCTTTCTTTC